GCTTTTCTTTACAATAAATCCCTCTGCAATGTATACCTTACGCTCTAAGTATTTATATAACATAAGTAGAATTTCTCTTTTTTAAGGAATATAAGGTTATGAAAGATTTACTTCTTCTGTCAAGAATAAAATAAATTGTTTTAACTTATAAATCATGATTAAAAAGTGAAATGAGGTAAACAGAGTCATGCTCTTTCAAGTAAGATTTCAGATAATGAAATTTGTTATAGTTATGCACAATGGTACTTGCCTAGTAAATATTTCTTAATCCCTAAAGCTATATTGGCTCACACTGTAGTTATAATAATTTAACACTTCTTCATTTATACAAGCTCAGTATAAATGTGTAGAGACATTAGGATTTTTAGAAGCAAGAGAGATTGAAAAATTAGCAACAGCCTTCGCCGGGAATCGAACCACGGACCTCTGAATGCTGGCTCAGTGTCTTGACCACTACACCACGAAGACGCGCTAGGAAGGTGGGAGAAATACCTTACATACTCATCCTTTTAAAGGGCGACTGGGGTTTTTAGGGGACCATGCCACAACCGGGCGCGGAGAAAATCATCCAACACCCTTTTAGTTCGGGCGCCACTGTAGAGACATTAGGTATTTTGGAAGCAGACAAGATGAAAACTGAGCAAATGTCTTGCCGGGAATCGAACCACGGACTTCTGGAATACCGGCCCAGCGTGCAGAACCACTACACCACGAAGGCACGTCAAGAAGTTGGAGAAATACCTTATAAATAAAGAGATGAACATAATATAAAAAAAGGATTACTGATTTTATTCACATTCCCAAATAGAAGAAAACGGCCAAGCTATTACTGTATTTAACCATGTCCAAAATCGTATCGGTTTCCATAGTTCTAAGGATCAGAAAAGTATACCGGGTGTTATTTTGCAGATCCATGAAAACTGAAATATGGCAATTAATTAGGATGGCTTCCAAGGAACGAATCACCAAATACAGCAGAGAGAACACAAGGCAGTTCAAAGGCGTTGTAACATTTTTTTTTTGTTTCGTAAGCCACTGTTGGAGTCAAGACAAAAATTTAGGTATGGGTTATAGGCAAGAAGAGGTATTCTTTTGTGGAATACAGGTATTATGTCAGTCTTGCAGCAAGAGTGGAATTTTATATGGGAAAAGCTCTCATGATACATGAATTTAAACTGCAGTTGTCTCAAAAGGACAGTGGTGCCATTGGTATTTTTAATGGTGCTTGCGTATGAAATGTACTTTAACCCTCTGAAGGTCAAAACGTCCGAGACGCTCTTTCATTCAAACGGGGACAACCGCCGAGATTGTTGTTTTTCTCTTTCCTCCTAGGTATGCAGTAGCAGGTGCATGTTTCCAAATGCATTGTATCACTTTACTGCAGACAGTTTGTCCTAAAAGGCTAATGGAAGGTTCTTGTTAGGAAGTAGAAAGGATGTCATTTGAAAACTTGACACCTCTTTATGCGTTAATGGGCGGGGGGGGCAGGCGTTTCGGAATTTTAAGCATACAGCTTAGCGAAGACTTCGGCTTTCTAAGGGTTAAATATATATATATATATGAAATATTCTTTAACTGTATTTAATATATGTGTGTAAGGTGAAAATTAGGAGATAGGCTATATGTTAAACACTCACTGTAACTGACAATACTCTTTAGGCTTTCCAATTTAGTTTTGTTATTATTATTTTTTTTTTCATCCTCAAAGTAGTAACTGCTAATAATAAAACTCAACTATGCCATTTCAAAATTAACCCATGTTATATGATTCTGGTTAATGCTAAAGACTCAGGTAATTATATAAGGCTTCAGGCAATCTTCACTTCAAATTTGGGAGTCCAAACTTCATATTAAGCAGTAGGAATTAATATAAACAATATCCATTTATTCTGGAAGAAAGCTTTCATATTAGACACGTTGCACTCTTGCTTTTACTTGCTGTCCTGCGGGCATGCTACCACATACCACTTTTTTATTAAATGCATCGGCATAACGATGTAGAAAAACATACATGTGATCAAAAGGGGAGGTGCAGATTGCAGGCAAAGAATTTTGTTATCAAGTTAAAAAATATGCTTCAACAGAAATTAACTATATTGAATTGGCCTCGAGGACTGCTGCTACTGTTTTGAAAATCGAGAAAAAATTATAATCCCGAAAAAAGATGTTCATGAAAAATAATTTTATTTATAATTTTTGAGATTATGAATCCTTATTTTTTTTTCGTGGGAAATGTGTGCTTCCACTGCTTTAGCTAGCATTTTATTTAACATCATTGTCCAATTAAAACTCATAAGCAGATGCCCGGTTGCAAATTTAGTTTGTTGTAGCATTCGATTTTTAGATACGTGGTGGATAAAGACAGCTTCTTATCGTTATTGAGAAGGTTAGATTAGGTTATTTAATTGCGGCAAAGCCTCGAGGACTATCTGCTTAAGGGGAGGGATGCCTTCGTCGAGGATTTCCTAAGGGAAACTGGCTCGTATACACGTTACACATGGGGAATACCACGAAAATACCCATGCAGCCAGCCCGTTCGCGGGATTCGAAACTACTAGTGTTCAGCGGCTTTACCGCTCGGCCGCTGGTAGGCATCATCGTTAGTAAGAAAACCGCCACAAACAAAAAACCAGGGAATAATGCGCAGAAATGTTTGGCAAATAATATATTTTTTTTTTTTTTTAATCTTTTTTCTTAAAAAATTGAAATAAAGAAAATAATTTTTGCTCGAGAATTACTCAAAGATCCACAGAAAGTTACTTGCATATTCCTGAGAATTTAGCGAATCATGGTTTGAAAATATTGTGAAATGCTGTATATAAGTTGCATACATAGTGTCCCATAAATATTGGTACAGACGTTATGATTAGATACAGAATCTCAAGAGGATTGCGAACTGCATAGCATTACACTTTACCATGACGTTTCTGGTCATGGGAAAATGGTATCAGAGGCAAAAGAAATGAAGGAACACAAGACAGAGATTGCCAGATGTATTTAATGCCCATAAATACTGCGTAATATTGTAGTAGATGATACTATTTAAAAATGTTGCAAAAGGTGCTCAAAGTTTCCACCAATACAAGCGATGCATGCGTTACACTGACGTACCATAGATTAGCGGACACGGTCAAAAACACCTAGATTTCTTTGGATATCTGCAGCAGTGCACGCGGTACTTGCAACCAAATCTATTTGAACTAGACAGTTATTTTATACACAACAGCTTTAAGTGCTTCCCAAAGAAATAAATCGAGATTGGTCCTATCCGGAAAACTTGTGTCCACCACGGCATGTTTATTATTAATCAAACGACACATCTAAGTGTCTTTAGAGACAACTTTCATAGCGGGGAGGTACCACCATCATGTTGAAACCACATGTTGCATCTCACATTTCGTGACACATGGTGAAGTAAGCCTAACTGAACTTGTTTCAAAAGGATGATATAATTTGTTGATGAAATAGGTGTTGGCAACAGGTAAGGACCGACTAAGCACTTTCTGATCGAAACAGCGCAAAGAGTTAGTGACCAAACAGCAAGTTAGTGACCAAACAGCAAGTTAGTGAACAGCCCTCGCGAACAGCCCCACCTAGTGCCATACAATGACATTTGCTGCCATAGATTGCTGTGCAAGTCTCAATCCTTTTCACGTGTCCTTAAAAAGTTTGTACCAACATTTATGGGGCACCGTGTATACATAAATATGTACAGTTTATTGACCCAAATTAACTTTATTTCTACGTTCAATTTGTACTTAAAATTGTCTTCATATTTAAAAGAACAAGTAGTCATGAAACATTACTGAAATATTTTACAATTCAAGATTATGCATAACTAAAGATATGCGCAATCACAGATAATTCATCAAATATTAGTATAGATATCCGTTTGAACAGTTTTAGACGACAACTGAAATAGTTATGCGTCTCGTAATTATAATTGTTTTTATGTATTTTTGCAATCCTCTTTGCGTTTGCGATTTTTAAATAATTTTTTTTATTACTGAGTAAAAAGGGTGTGTTAAAAATATTTTATTCAGGTTTGTAATGGATTCATTGTATACTTAAATACAGATGAAAATTTTGAAGCAGCGGTGCTTTCAAGTTCTAATATTCAGTTCTAATATAAAAATACATATGAATAACATAAAATATTTAATTGTATAAAAATACATATGAATAACATAAATATTTAATTGTGGCAAATTCCATTTTAAAACATATTTTTGAATAGCCCAAATTTCCAGATTTGCATGAAGAAATAATGACGATAATTATTTGAGCAAGATTTGATATCGTAAGACAATTATTTTACATAGCGTAAATATGTTTCTTTAAAACATGTCAGAAATGCTGACATATTTTCGCATACTGGTATACAGCAGAAGCAAAACAAAAGTCATTAATCGGCAAATAGCATAACTTTCAAATGTGCAGAACAAAAAATGCAGATTTTTAATGATTTTTTACTATTCTAAAGCTTCAAATATGAAATCTGCGTTTTATTAGAACTAATCAAAGTATTTATTTATTATGTATCGATAAGGGTGGGAGAGAAGATACATAAGAAAGTGATAGGCAATCATTTCGCTGTTCTGTAGCTAAATGCTATTTTGCATTACTGGAGAGGGGAGGGGGAGAATAAACATTAGAAATGAGCTCAAAATTACATAAATGCCTGCATTTTGTTAATTTTAAAATTTTCTGAAAGAACAAGACTACTATTTTGTGTCAAAAATGATAGCTTTGAGGTCTTTTAGGCCTAACCGAAAAAAAGTTACTCCAAGTGTTCTTTTAATGTCATAAAGACGTGGATGAGTTCGCCGTAGGCAAATTGATTCACACTGAGGCTAAGACATATATGAGAGTTATTTATGTTAATAGAAGAGCGAAATACTTCATATATTCACAAAAATTCTTGTTTAGTCCTTTTAGAAATGTAGGGTATATGAGGTGAAAAAGCTTTTATTCTAAACATTGTGTTTTGTTTTAATCAGGGCCCATGAGGCCATCCTGATGGAGTCATCGGGTTGGAGTTTGATAGTTACACAAGTGGCCCCCAAACATGGCGTTCCCAGCTGGTTATATAATAAGTGAGTCCTTTTCAAATTTTTACTGCGCCCGAATGCGTATATGAAATTTTCAGTCTCTAAATTATTTCTAGTTAATAGACTGGTATAAATAAATTTACATTTTTCTTTTAGCTTTATGCAGCTTTTTTAAGCTCATTCGAAAAGTGTTACAATGAATGAATAAATAAATAAAGGTGAACAATGTAATTTTTATTAAAAAAAAAGAAAATTTATATATTTTTTTAAACCAAGGTAAGCAAAATAAAATTAAGCTTCAATTTATATAGAAACGATTTTTTTTTTCTTTCAGTTGTTAGTTTAACCTCTTTAATTTAAGACTGGATATACGGCGAAGTTTAACTTTTCCCTCAGAAATCCTAACATTGTTCCTAAATAAACAAATTTGAGTTTTAAATTCGATGCCTTGGAATGTGGTAATTCTGTGAAATCTAATCTAAATTCCGTGGACATTCTGTGGAATCTAATCTAGATTGAAAGCGAGACCCAAGGCAAAATATGCAATTGAAGTTCATGTACAGTTATATACCGGTAAAACAGAAATCAAGATAAAATTAAGTTATTAGAAATTATAGTTTAGAAATTTAAATGCTTTAATAAAAAGTGGATTATCATTGTTATCAATGAAATAATGTTTACAGAAAATATTATATACATGTTAATAGTAAAATTGTGTACGATTAAAAAACTCATTTATGTAAAAATTAAAGCTTAATTTTAAATTTTAAGAAGCTTTAATATTAAAAATGCATAACTGCTTGTCTTCATTTCTTGGGTTAATTATGTCTGTAAGATTTTATTGAAAGTAAACAGTAATTGATTATAATATACTTTTAAATCTTATTTTAAAAATTTCACAAAATTAAGTCAAATAAATGCAGTAAAGTTGATCCTAGTAAATAAATTCAGTAAGAATTTTTTTTTCATACACATTTTTATTTTATTTTAATTCTCAATTATTAATATTATTATTATTAAAGTATTATACTCCTCTTTTATTAATAAAGAAATTAATTGAATAATCAGCTAAATATTCTTTATAACATTTATTTGATCATTTTTTATAATTATTGAAAGGTCTTCATTAGATTGAAGTCCTCTTTTTCTTTTGATTAATCGGACTGCATGGCTTAAGTACGGTTTTCCTGGAAACAACTGTGCAGTTCTAAATGTACACATGCGGGGCGTTAAGAAAGGTTGTGCGATTAAATAGCTCTTGAAAGTTTGGTATTAAATTCATTTCTTAAATACATAAAAGTGGAATGAATAAAATCTTTTGACAAGGATAATTTTGGACATGTGGCACTTTTTAGTAAAAATGCATGAATATTGAAATTTTATGTGTGGCCTAAAAGTGAAAAAAAAGTAAATTAGAAGATAAACCAGTGAGTAAATTTAATTAGAATTAAGTAAGTCGTCAAATGAAATAAAAGCTTCCATACGTATGCTTTTAAAGAGCTCAGATATCATGATTAAACTTTTGGGGTTTCGCATAGAAATATTGTAACAGATAATTAAACATGGCAATGTACTGGAATACGGAAGTGTGAAAAATGCCTTTCATGTTGTAAATGCATTAGTTTAAAAGCACGGTTATCAAACTACCATTTTCAGAAAAGCTAAAACTCACAATTTTGTATTTAATAAAATTTTATTTCACACTTAATATTATTTATAGCTAAATAATTACTTTTAATGCATGTTTAAGACTTTACGCTTCTACGATTTGATACTCGGTTCTTTAAGCTAATAACCGATGCGGTTAATCAGTGCAGAGATCTCGGACTGATTTTATTATCCGATTTTTTTGTATGTCGAGTATATAATATGGTTGCTAATATTGCATAATAGCAGAAATCTAAAAGATTAACGATCATTTCTAGAAAGCAGATGATTTGTAGACCATTGATGGCTCCATATGATAATTACTAGACAATACTCTGAAAAATGGACATCACTACGAAACAGTCAATTGCATAGAGATTCTTCTGTAGAGTGATTTAATTTTTATACGGCCATGTAAAGAGTAATGACTGCTTTCATTATGAGAGAAGATTAAGTCGTAAAGACAAGTAAATACGCCCACTCTAGTTTTCTTAATGTTATAGCAGAAAATGTGCGTGAAGATAAGCTAGTTAAAACACCTAACCTTTATTCTGCTATAATAAACATGTTAATAAATTTTGGGTTAAAGTAAAGCAATGTAACGAAATGTTATTAGTATATCTACATTAGACAGACATTGCAGTGAGTGAACAGGTATATTCACTTTTGTGGCTGCATTAATATTGTGTTAATCTTTCGCGTTAAAAAATAAGGTGGAAATGTTGTGTATAGACATGCATTTATTGTTATTTATATGACTAATAACAATGAGCATTTAGATAAAATAAATAAATAAAAAAATGATATAGCAGTGAAGGAAAATAAATATAGCACAAGTGCATTGTAGAACCTTTTAAGGTTTTTCAAAGCAAGAAACAGAAAAAATCAGCAATGCCATCACTGGGATTCTAACTCTGGTTCTTCCGGACGTGTTTTTCAATTGAGAACACAAAGATACACGGTGAGGATAGCAAAAAGTCCTTTTACATAAATTTTGAAGGATTTGTTTTGTTATTCCAGATTTTCTATGAATAGTTTTATCAGAAATAAAATCTGTTACAGAGCATTTACTTATTTGAAGGAAACAAGTTTTATCCAGTAATAAATGAGTTTACTAAAATGCTAGCATTACTACTTGTCTATTTATTTTACAATATAATTTAAAAATTTAGAATATCTTACGGAAGAAAAATTACAGGGTTTACAGCTTAGTAATCATTGAACACTGACAAGTAAACCTTCTCTTCTTTGATAACCGTTTTTCCGGAAACCCATAATATTTTCTGAAAGCTTATCTCACTAGTACAAAAACTGTGAAATCCTAGGGGCAGAGGGACAAGCGTTTAGGAGCTATTGAGCCCACAAAGTATCATAGATGGATATATTTCCTTAATGACGTCTCTATTTCTTCTATGTTCATGCATTATCTGCTTCCGAAGTACCTAATGGTAAAGTCCTATAAAAGGAACTAGTACCTGAAGGATTTACGGGAAAGACCAAGCCTCTGGATATTCATTTTTTTCAGACACTACAAATCTTTTGTTCGTTGCATAAGGACAGAATCATTATCGAGACACAGAAGCACATTTGGCATCGCGATAGTTTTCTGGCTCTGCAGTTTTTTTCACTATATCAATTCAGCGCTCATCTTGTTAAGAACGTAATTAAGTATGCTTTTTATGGCAAATACTTGGACGACGAACCTGGAATGTGGATAGCGCCAATGGATTACTGCTTCGATTCGTTGACAAATGATAAGTGTGCAATGTATGAGGCTATAGCTTTTGTAAAATGTACCCAGTGTGAACTGTCTTTCTGCCCTTATCACTGTTTATTTGATGAATTGCACATTGATTCCTTCTTGTAATACACATTTTCAATACTCCAACGTATACCGTTTTCTTTTCAACGAGATGTTTCTTTCTTTGCATTGAGATCCCAACCTTCTTACCATATCATTAGTTCATATAAATACGTGAAACGAGCATTTTAGCGACTTTTGGTGTCATGTTTCCAACACTTTTCTGATACTGTTTGGGCCCTATAGCTCTTAATCGCTTGACCTCTGTAACTAGGATTTCACAGTTTTCCTACTTGTGATATAAGCTTTCAGAACATGTATGGGTTTCCGGGAAACTGGTATCAAAAGAGAGTAGGGTTTACTTGTGAGTGTTCATTGACACTGAGTGTCCATTGACAGAGGTTTCGATAATCCTAGATGATTATGATCCCAATTACCTCAGATAATTGAGGCAGCATTTTGCCATAAAATTTAGTGTTTTTGTCATAAAATTAATTTGTGTCTGTATTAAAAGCAGCATTTTGCCATACAATTTGGTACTTTGTGTTTGTTGCTTGTAGGCTAAAAGTTCGCAGTCAATTGCAGTTTAATTCTTTCTTACTATAAGCAGATGGAATAACATTTTTTATGCGTTCTTGTCTCATATTATACTTTCATGCGTTCAAAAGCTTGCAGTAGCTCAGGATTAATATTCAGAAAAACTTATTCCTGTTAAAAACGTAGGACACTCCGAACTTTTGATACCCTCATTTACTTTGCCCGTATCTTTTACACACGTTCTGTAGATGCTTCCTTGAAATCACTTAAAATTAATGTACAAGGTAAAAATGAGAGTTTGAGACATTTGTTTCGTCATTAACACAATAGAAGCATTAGAAGTTGAAGATTCTGTATACGTACAGGGTGGTTATAATTAAAGTGACCCTATTCAGACCCCTCTAGAACATGTTCTACTTATTGAAGTTTGATTAAATTTGGTATATAAGTTATATGGGCCATGGGGAAAAGATTTCGGTAATAAAAATGTTCATAATCATCTTCAAACCCTTCTTCGACATGGGACATTTTCGCAATCCCTTTAAACGACGATATTCAGGCAAACAACTAAGCTATTGTTGCCGTTCTGATAAAACATTTTTACCAGCAACGCGCGATCTTTCTTCTGTTATCTATGATCTATGATTAACGATGTCAACGGCACGCAGAATGATTTTCTGGCTCTGACTGCTTGTCTCTTTACAAGTTTCACTAATTTGTATAAGGAATATTTGAAAATTGACATCTGCTGGTCAAAATTTGAACTATATTTTATCGAAGAAATCTTTTCAACATAGTCCATATAATGTATGTACTAAAGTTCATCAAAATATGATAGGCGGAACGGGTTCTACAGGGGTCTGAATAAGGTTCGTGACACTTAGCCGACAACCACTTAACCGACGGGACACTTAACCGACACCACTTAGCCGACAGGACATTTAGCCGACACGGACACTTAGCCAACAGGACATTTAGCCGACACGGACAGTTAGCCGATAGGAAATTTAGCCGACACGGACAGTTAGCCGACAGGACTCTTACCCGACAGGACATTTAG